AAGGGCGTTGACGGTGTCCGAGGTCCCCTTGCCTTTTGTGGGGTCGGGGGAGTCAAGACAAGCTTATCAACGAGCTTATTGCACCGATGCTCCTCGTCGACGGTGTTCTCGAAGGATGACTCCTTATCGGAGGTCATCCCAATGATATCTTAGTGTAGAGAACTAGTTTTCGTTTATGGTTTGAAAAACGTCGTTTCCCACAGACGGCACCAACTATTGACAGCGAATTCTGGTCGTAGGCCACATGTCCCTTCGGACGAGCAGTCCGGCTGGAGAACAAGAGAACCAAAAACCAAAAGAACACGACGCTGGTTTGGTGTCCCGCCTAAGACACTCAATTAGTAACTGGAATGAAATAGGAAAAAGACACCAAGTATGTGAGTGACAGATTTCTCACGTCCCACTTTTGAGGACAAGGGTCCTTCCTTTTACAGCCTTAGGGAGCCGACCAGGAAGGACGTCGATTAGTGGTGGTAGGAACACGGCATGTGGTACGGGGAGCATTAGAGGGCGCACTTCCAATAGTCGTGGGGCGGCACCTCCTTCTGCGGCTCAGAGCCTATTGCCTTCAACTGTGAGGCGTGCCCGTCTTACTTGTGGCATCTGCCTCCTAGTACGGTTACGTATGGCGTCCAGCTGTCCGTGTTCCCTCATCTCTTCGTGAGATGACACATGTCCTACTCGACAATGCCACTTCGCGAGGGAAGGCAGCCGTATGTGGTCCCACGTTCTAGAAGCAGACACGCGTCCGAGTGTTGGAATTCTTTCCCCAACAAGATATATCATTTTAGGACTCTTTTAGAGAATTAAATAGATATTCACATTCTTTGTATATATTTAATACATAAAAACTAATAGAAAATTAAATTTTATTTATATATTTCAATCATGACGTTACATTAAGGACAACTCGTAAATATAGTAAAACTATTAATAGTTAATTAATGGTAAAAATATAGCAACCACTTTTCTTATTTGCAAATTAGGAAGAAAAAAAAGATGGTCCAATCAGAATATATAATTTTTTACCTTTTAAGTCGGGGATTTTTGTTAAAATGATAAAAAAAAAAAAAACTCTTGAGTTGATACAGATATATTTTATATTACGTATATCAGTACGATACGTAAAATGAAGTTATGTCACTAAATATATTTAGTGGGTTGGTATACTTTTTTATTACTTCATATCATCTATATTAGTTATATTAGTAATATATTAGTATATGATCACTAGTATATTTAGTGTGATTGATATGCTTCATATATCTATTAGTACTTCATATTATGTATATCATTTATATCAGTGAGATACCTATAATGACTTATATCATTGACGTACTTGATAAAACATATTGGTCATATCATTGTAGCAATTCAAATCTTTTTTGCATAAAAAAAAAATCTGATTATGATTTGTGAAGCAATAAAAGTATGCGGATAAATGGAACGGTGAAAGAAAGAGAGAAAAAGAATGCGAATGATAAATGATTCCAATATATAATATGTAAGATTTATGGGTCATCTCATAAAAGGTAGTATAATAAAGCATCAAGACCGCTGAATTCATAATTAGATGAATATGTTCATAGAACAAAAAAGTTAAGAGCCCCGAGACAATAAAGACTGAGAAAATTGACTCAAGAACAAATTTTATTAAGGGCTCCATTGTAAAACTAAGACCTAACCATTAATCGAGAGGCGATCGGAACGAGAGAACCCGTGAATACATAATATTCTATTGAAAACAAATTCTAATAATTTATTGGATAGGATGGTGGAAGAAACCGAAAACCAATCCATTTATTATGAGAGGTCGGTTCATGGGTTAACTAACCCGAGAATCAAAACCATATAAGAAGAGTAAATATTTGGTTAGGGAGGTGGAGACGTGTCCAAAGACTTTTGTTCTTTTTTGCATGTGTTATTTTGGCACAAATCTTTTTGGTTCTTCAAAAGAACCAGTTTGAGATTAAAATACAATTTTCAATCCGAAGATGATTTATCAATAATGTACATAATATATAGTATAATGTTCATATATATATTTAGTTTGATTGTTTCATATTAGGTATAATGTTCATATATATATTTGCTTCGTATTCAATATATCAATTATATAATTGATATACCTAATATCAAGTATAGTGATATACTTGATATATATCAATAAGAAACCTGCAATATAACTTAAACTAAAATCTTCAACTCAAATAAGATTTATCAGTGATATACCGAACATGACGTACATCATTCAAATATTTTGTTTATCTGGTATACTTCGTATTATGTATATCAATCATATAATTAATGTTCCAGCAAATATCAAGTACATCAATTATATACCTCACTTTAGGTATATCACTAATATATTTAAATTGTAGTATATTGATATCAATAAGAAAACTTGCTAACGTTAGACTCAAAAAAGATTTTTCATATATTAAATGTGGCTGATATACTTTATATTCAGTATATCACTTATATAATTGAGATAACTAATATAAAGTATATTAGTGATATATTTAAAATGAAGTGTATCAATATATCAATAAGAAACCAACAACGTCGTTATCTGAACTAAATCTCCCATAACTCAAAGAAATTTTTCTAATGATATTTGTCAGTTGAATTCCTATAACCTGGGGTGACAGCTGTAGATACCACCACACTTTAACCGACGCACAACTATAATTCGAACATGGGTGGGGTGTTCCCATCCGACCCCGATAGAATTCGAACATAGGTGGGGTGTTCCCATCCGATCCCGAGTTCGCTCCGCCATGCCCGTATGTGTAGTGATATAACTAATATGAAGTATACTTGATATTAATATGACTAATATACTCCATATTAGTTATATCAGCGATATACTTGATATTAGATGTAACGGTTTCTAGAAATAACACAGACAAAATTGAAATAACAAAAAAAAAACAAAAAACAAAAAACATGATTTTAGAAAATTTTTCATGTTTGCAAAGCTAAAAAGTTATTGCTATATTTGAAAATATAGCAAATATTTATTAAAAATATCCTTTAATTAAAATTTTGAGGGGATGAGTTTAAATCATTCTATTAAATATCAGTTGATACGTCAATATTTTCATTTCATAGGTTTAACATCGACATGGGAGGTAAATTGATATTTACATCAAAGTAAAAAACAATCAATAAAATATGAAAAATATATATAAAAAAAGAAAAGTCACTAATATATACATAAGTTTAATATTAATAATTTTAAACTTATTTATAAATAAAAAAATATCTATTTTTTAATTTAAATATTTTTTGTGATTTTTTAATATCTCTTCTTTTATAGAGATATCTATCAACATTGACATTTTATTGATATTTTCATAAAATTGAGACTCGACGGCATATAAAAATAAAGTATCAAGTTCAAACTACTTCAGGGAAGGACCGGAACGAACCGACTCGGTTTGGTCCATCAAAACCGATTTTCAAAATGTACAGTAACACTACCCCTTACCCCATCTCCTGACTGCGCTGTAAAAGACATCCACGATGGAGGCGACGACGACCTAGATTCACGTCAGAAGCGACGGCGAGATGGATTTTGATTTTGATGAAGAAGATCTGAAGTGGGTTTCCACGGAGATCGATTTTGATGAAGAAGAAGATCTAAAGAAGACTACTCGAACTCGGTTTTCATGGAGGTCAGTTTCGAAGCAGACGATCTGAAGTGGCTTTTGTGGATTTTCGTGAAACGAAGATTTGAAGAAAGTGGATTTTGATTGAGGCAGGGTTTTATGGAGAATATTTCGAAATAACTTTGAGATTGTAAAAATTACTTTTAAAAATATAATGTCAAATTTTTACGCTTATCTGATCACAGATTCACAGGTGGGATTTCATTAAACACTTTATTTTATTTTATTTTATATTTTTACGCTTTAGATTAGATTCAAGGTCATTTTGAAAAAATTATTAATAATAAAATTTAAAAAACCAACTTCGACCCAACCCGACTTGAACCGACTTGAGTTTGGGTGTATTATCAGTTTCCTCCAAAAACCGACCTGAATTAATTACACCCTTAAGAAAATGTAAAAAAAGAATATGCATAGAGCATTAAATATATCATTATATAATAATTATATGTACAACTAATTGATTGAGTTTTGAACAAGGGAATGGGAAGATGCACGTTATGTAGGTGATGGGATAGTGTTTGTGTTTGACATTCAAGCATAGCATGATGATTAGGAACTAAGAAATTAGCACATGGATGATGACGATGATTTGGGAATGAATATTAGCAACATGCAGATCCACATTAAGCCTCAATTTCATGGTGGATTATAAAATGAGTGAGATCCATGTGGCATATTGTGTGGTCAAACAATCATGTGCTTCACATTCAAATACAGGGAAGCAAATTGAAGTTCACATCCCCTGAGAGAGAGAGGGTTTTCCACACAAAAGAGAGAAAGAGAGGGAAAAAGGAAAAAAGAAAAAAAAGGGTACATAAATCTGCCTGATTCACATCCTAAAAACATATATCCCTAAATTTTTCTTACTCTCAAACCAAAACCAACAACACAGCAATTCACAACACGAACAGAGAAATATTAGTCCATCTCAATCTGGTTGGATCGGATCACAACCACCATTTTTATCCTTCCATGGTTAAAGAAGTCCCAGCTGCAAAGTGAAGCACATTGTGTAGTTTGTTGTAAATTAATTAAAGAAGCAAATATGATTAATGCAGTGAGGTTGTAGCAAGATAGTTACCAGCTGGGTTGGTCTCTGCAGGAAGAGGCATTGGCTGCTGCTCCATGCACTTGAGAAGGTATTTGAAGGTCTCGGTCTCGCATGGGAGCGTGAGGCCGCCGCAGTGATCAAATCCAAACTCCTCCTCGGCCTTTTCCAGCAACACCTTGAACACCGTATGGCTAAGATAGCTTGTGGGAATGATGAACCTGCGAAGCTCCGGCCCTTCCCCTTCCCCGACGTAAACGGCCAAGAACCCTTTCGGCACATCGGCTGGATGTTCGGGGCTCTGGCAGCTGCTCTCCTCGTCCGAATCGCAACACAAGTAACCCGCCAGCCTTTTGTTGATTACCACTGAAAGCATCTGCTGATGATTTTGATTTTCATTCTCATTCTCATTCTCATTTTCATTTACATTTTTGCTTTCGCTTTCATTGGTGGCTACTGCTTTCTTTTTCTGGCGAGCTGCGATGGCGTGCAAGTGTTGGAGAGCCTCTTTCAGCTTCACAAGCTGGCTGATTCCGTTGAATTTCATCCTACCATTTCCATCCATTTCTAAACGTTCACCACGATGGAACACAACCCCACGACACGATTCGCACAGCCTAATTCCAAAATCACAATCCTCGTCACATCACTGCCGCCGCCACTTGGATAACATATCAGCAGGGAACGATTATTTACAGACTTAAGTGGATCAACAAGCTTAAGCTTAAGCAAGAAAGAGAAGGCATTCCAAGGCGAAGTAAAGGTTATGATTCAAATCAATACAGCAAGTTCACAGCAATTGATAATAAAAAGAACCTTTTCGGGAACAGAACAATTCTTGATGGTAAACTAAATTAGCATGAAACAATCACACAAAATGGAACAGCAAAAAGCTCAAATTACAATGTCAATTAGATTAAATACGAATTCCCCTTTTGAGATGAGACATAACTGATCACAAAACTCCTCCCACGGGTTATATTGATCTCAATTTGAAGACCATTGATCTTTAAAAGCCATGTACATAACATTGTGTCAACACAAGAACAAAATAGGGAATTAAGGACACAAGACAAGCATGCTCCACGCAATTAACGAAGACGAAGTTCATATTACCTAATTGACAATGATCGACGAAAAGATGAAACCCTAGAATAATAAAATCGTATCCGATGAATGAAAAGAAACTGTGTGAAATCGAAGGATAGGAAGCACATACCGAGGATTAGGAAGAAGAAGAGCATTTAATTTTAGGTGAAAAGGTGAGGAAGAAATGGCATTGGCATTGGAGTTGGGAGTTGGGGAAATGGAAGGAGGGAGAGATTCCGAAGAAAGAAGAAAGCGGAGAATGAATATTTATGTGGAGAGAAGAGGAATGAGGACTCCGCTAACCAATGGCTCCCCCGACCCTTTCGTACTCTTTCTGTTTTTTCTGTTTCAAACAACCAATTCCACCACCCTCCACCAAACACACAAGCCACCTTTTCTTTAAACGGAAGAAAAAAGATTAAAAAAAAAAAAGTTGATTAGGACATTTGGAAGGAGAGATCCATGTGACAAAGATGGTTGAATTTGTCCAATGCTAAATTTGGCCGACGAATCTTCCATGCTCTCTAAGCTGTCCCTTCAACCTTCCATCAGCTGATGAAGCACAGCACTCAACTTGTATAGGGATAACAATCGTTGGGGGCAAAAATATGACCTACTACCTGGTGAGAAACGGCCAAGTTCCTAAGTTCATCTACGACCAAACTCCTAAGCTCATCTACTGTTGAGTTCCCAGGTCGGCATAGTAGATCATTCCTCGCGGTTGAATTTGTCAAGGACAAGCTCTAATATCATGTGGTTTCATCAACACTGGAGAGTAGTTCACCAACCTGGGAAACAGTTCTACAGTTGATGGGACGAGTAAGTACCCACCCATTCTCTATAAAACACTATCACTTTTCAGTCGATCAGGTATGAAAAATATATATGAAGCCTATCTGCCCAGCTCGAACTCAAAACTAACTTGAGCGTAGAGTGTTCTACCTTTTTTTGCAAGGTCTTCCTTCTCCAACTCGCCCACTAGCAGCTTACTAGGGCTAAGTGCACGTCACTCCATGACACTTGGCAGAATTCAGCATCAATAGCTGGTGCTATATGTGGAAACGTAGTGTCAAGCCAATCTCACTTACAAACAAAAATGATCGAAGGTTCCCGAGGTTCAAGTAACCGAGATGTGGGGGATCAAAAATAATCTCCCAATAACTCTAAATACGTGCAGCCCCCTACACGAAAGCCATCGATCGAGAAGAAACCAAGAACTAGGCGGACTTCCAGAGGCCACGCTCTCTACTTGCCAATGAGTCGGCACCCAACCTATAAGCTTGAGGTCGCCCACATGAAAGCACGAATGGAGGTTGTGATGGAGGCGCTGCAAGGTACTAGAGTCCCCCTCCATGAGCTATCTGAGCCTGAGATCCCCGAGGCCTTAGGAAGGGTAAAGCAAAACCGACTGATCAGAGGGCAATGACGTCGGTGAACCCTCACCCCTCCAAGTTGGTCGTTGGGGGAAACAATCGATCTTGACCCAATGAGGACCTCCGCTCATTCCTCTCAGCTCGCTCTTCGTAGAAAAAAGATAAGGTTCTTCGGAAGACCCTAACTCGCAAGCGGACATTGACTGTGCTGCGATTGACTCGGTCTGAATTAGTCAACAATGCCTGCAACTCTGACTTGATGTCAAAACCTATAATATAGAGTTTTGCTCCATTTCTCAAAGTATAGATCAAACTTATACTGACCTGACCGTCCAAGCTTTTATCTACCTGTGTAGGTTTTGACGTTCATCGGCCATCCAAGTTCGAGCTTCACGGAATTGATCATTTTGTGATCACAGAACTAGGTGATACAATAATTTGAAATATAAAAAACAAAGAATATATAATTTGAATAGACAACAGAACAAAATAATAAATGTTATTTGGCCCACTACCCCAGAAGTATATCCAAGTGAAAAGGTGAGCTAAGTTAAAAGTCTATATAGTTAGAAGAATGAGGGAGATGAAAAGTGGGATTTAAAGCCATTGTGGATGTGTGGATTCTTTTCAAGTGGGGTGATATTTAGGTGAGTGTGTGATTTTGGAGGGTGGAAAGTTTCTTTTTTTGTCTAAATATTATTTTGGTTCAATTTAGTTCTTATACTTTCAAAACATCTTGATTTATTAACTTTTAATTAACTTTTATTTATTTTAGTCTCGACCATTTTAGTCCATCACATTTTTTTTACCTTATTTCTTTAAATCACAATTTTAGTCTCAGTAAATTTCTTAAAATGTATCCATAAATTTGTATTAAAAGGTTTCTATGGTGCGTAAAATGTTTGTTAAAATTTTTTAAATAAGGACCAAATTAATCACTTTCTAAAAGTACATGATCAAAATGGACGTTTTAAAAATATAAGAACTAAAATAAAGAGCAATTGATAGTATATGAAAAAAAAAATATTTTGAAAGTACATGAACCAAAGATGAACAAAAGTAAAAAAGTAAACAATGAAAATAGTATTTAATCCAAGTTTTATTTCGTTTTGAAACATTTACTTATCAAATATATTGAATTAGTTAAAATCATCTTGGGGATGTAGCTCACATGGTAGGGCGCTCGCTTTGCATGCGAGAGGTACGGGGTTCGATACCCCGCATCTCCATTTTACTCTTTTTTCCTTTAAATTTGGTCCTTCTAGGAAAACCTTAAAAAGGCTTCTAAAAATTTGCAGAACTGGGCCGGCCCAGAACAGAAATAAACAATAAGTTATATCAGATATTGTAAATAATATACAATTAAGATTTTTTTAATTAATTAATTCGTTTTCTTTTTTATATTTTACCGTATTTGCATGATTACAGAATTTCATCTTAAATTTAATTATTTTAAATTATTTAATTATTTTCTTTTTATTTAAATCTCATTTCTTCCCTTCTGTCTCTATATTTAAATCTCTACCTTTAAGTTGTATTCAAAGAAAAAAAAAAGAAAAGAAATTTCCTATCTTTTTAAGATAGTGTTATAGCATGATTTGGATTTAGGTTCCAGCATGATGCTCCCACGAAATATTTGTGCTCGTAAAAAATCTACACATCAACGTGGTGGTAAGCCCAAAATGGATTTAGGTCTCAGCACGATGCTCCAACGAAATATTTGTGCATGTAAAAATCAAGAATTTACAGTAGGTGTCACTATTTGTCACCCGATATTGAAAAATGGTCCGATCATATTTGATAATAAAAAAATGTCCATTTATATTCTTTAACTGTTTTTCAAGTTTCATATTTGACACTTTTACCCTTCTGTTATTAGTTTTAAAATCAAAATATCCCGACTTCCATGATCTCTCTTATATTTTATCTCTCCTTAATTCTAGCTATTATAAATTTAGATATATATGAAGCTAGAATTCGCCAATTATAAGGAGACATCATATCGAGAAGATGATCAGAGAGGGAATCTATCAGAGCCAGTTGATGGGGAGTGGAGCGAGGGAACACCGGTGGGCAACGCAGTGGGTTGCAAGTGGGGTGGGGTAAAGGAGAGAAATGCCTATATGTTGAGTTTCCAGAGTTCGTGTAGCTTTTTTATTTGAGGTAGGGTGCTTTGTACTTTTGTATTAGTTGTTCACAAAATATATACCTTATTTCTTCACACTATTTGTATTTCTTTAGTTAATCTTGTTCGATGTATTTGTTACTCTCTCCTTATTTTTATATTTTTGTACTAATTGTTCACAAAAATATATCTTATTTCTTCACATTATTTGTATTTATTTAGTTGATCTTGTTCACTATATTTGTTACTCTCCTTATTTTTATATTTTTGTATTAATTGTTCAAAAAAATACACCTCTCTTCACCATATTTGTTCTTTTATTCACCATATTTGTTTATCTGTTCACCGTATTTGTTGTATTTTTGTGTTCACCGTATTTGTTATACTTTTGTTTCTATGTTCACCATATTTGTTATCCGTATTTGTTGTATTTTTGTTTCTCTATAACCATATTTGTTGTTTATTGTATTTTTGTTTCTTTGTTGCCCGCATTTTTTATTTGTTGTTCTTGTTTCTTTGTTTACCATATTTGTTATGTTTGTTTATCAATTTGTTCTAGCTTGAGTGTTATTTGAATTTCTAATTATTTGTTTTCCTTAGATTTGTTAGTATCTCTAAAATTGATTAGAAAATTATTTGAATTGAAAAATATAGATAGGATTCTTAAAATATTTGAATTATCCTATAAAGATGGTTAGGTAGGATTCTCCTATGAAAAAAGAAAAATAACCAATTAATTTTAAAATTATTTTAGAAGAGGATAATTTCGGCTGTAAAACATTAGTACAAATCTTACTTACTTGGCCATTATTGAAAAGCGAAAGTTGTTTGACCCATATTTTGAAATTGCCTATTTTAAATGGGTATATCTATTGTTACTCTCCAAACAAAAACTGTAAATCAATGTGGTGGGAAGCCCAAAATAGTCTAATGAGAAAAATAGTTTAGTTGAGAATAGCGGATTGTCAAAACGTAATTTAACCCATAACAACTCCAACCTGCTCTATTAGTATGATGGTGTTCATGGATTCGGATCCTTGGGTGGGCACGTCATAAAATCATTTTTAGAACTATATATCTATCTAAAACGAATTTTACTTATTAGCATTTTTACAAAAAAAATTTAAACTTTCATTAATTATATTATATTTATTTTTTATTTTGAATTTGAACTTGAACTTGAACTAGTTTGAATTCATTTTCTCTCAATTCTTTAGAATTTATTTTAGTCCCTTGGACTAATGGACCAACTCATGATTTCCAAATTTTGATTTTATTAACTTCAACTAATCTTGATAAAAGTACCTGCTACGCCTTCACAGAAGTTGGTAGTTTGATGATGTATGCTCTAAACTCGTGACATTAGGTAGATTATTTCGATATAAATAAAATAAACTTAATAATTAATCTGCATCTTGGTGTGAAATTGACACTTAATACTTAATTGCTTCTAAGATACCAAAAGTGTTTTTAAACGTTGTATGTAATGAAAATACGAGAGGATCCAATTTTACTGTAATAGCTTTAATAGTCTACGGTATATAGATAGGATTGGAGCCTTCTAATGACATTATTGCTACACTCACTTTGTAATTGTTACAAATAATCTTATCTCGATGGTTCATGTGCTCATATTGTGAGTGTATGGGCCACGATTTGTATTTTTAAATAAAAAATATATTTTTCATCTAATTAAATTAATTTTTTTTTAAAGAATTTATTCGTTCAACTATTTATATCAAAACAAATCAAAATTTATTAAAAATTCTTTACTAAATATTTTAAA